ATTGGCTCATGTGCCAGTACAGATGTGGCACAGATGTAATCCAAAATCTTTGGAGGATAATTCTCTGCTTTTGGAGATTTTAAGACCCTTATAATAGAAGTCTTAATATTATTGGGTATTTGCCTTCTCCTCCCATGCTTATTGCCAATTTATTCCACATGGTGAGGAACCTAGTGAATTTGGCTATGTCTCAAAGAGGCCCAGGTGGAGCATATTACATGCTCCACCAACAAACTATGGCACAGGTTGATGATTATGGTGGTGAGACTCCATAACAAGTTGTTCTCAAAGGGGGGAGTGAGGCAAGAAAGTAAAAGCAGAACTAAAAGAATCTATCCTAGCTGCTCTGTGTAGGCCTCAGCCAAGCCTCAGGCGTTTCTGCTGTCTGCGTGTTTCTCCCCTGACATACGTGGGGCCTAGATTGTAACCTAGTATCTTCCTTGGGTTTCTGTTGCCTTTGGGGCTGGTGGTCTGACCAGTCTCAAGGACACGGGCGAATCTGACCTTCCGCCTTGAGCCCGGATGTCATGTCTCTCTGTCTTATGACCCTCACATGCATCCCCACCCTGAAAGGTGGATAAAAGAGAGGCAAGAGATTGAGTTGGGGGGCTCAGTTTTGGGAAACACGCTGGTGTTCCGAGTCCCCCCGGCCGAATAAACCCGCTTCCTCTAATCAACTGGTGCCTGGAGTCTTCTGTCTGTGACGGTTTCCTGCTACAGTAGCACATGCTTATAGTCCAGCTAGACCAGACCCTGAGGCAGGAGGATCTCCTCAGCCCAGGAATTTGAGGCTATAGTAAGCTATAATGACATCCCTGCACTTCAGCCGAGGCAACAAAGCAAGACTGTCTCAAAAAAGATAAATTAATTAAAATAAAATAAAAAGGCATTTTCTTTGCCACTATACTTTCAGGATATACCTTCTGTCTAGTGTTTGGCCTGGGTAGGAAGGAGCAACAGGTTCACAAATAAGAAAACTGAGAGCCAGGGTCATCTACAGGATATTTCCTCTTCACATCTAGCAATTGGCTGAAGGAATTTAGGGAATGTGTGTAAATTAATAAATAGCAAGTACAATGGCCCTGAGGCAGGCAGAGTGTGTGGTCTCTATCCAACAGCAGAAGCCCAGTGTCTGAAATGGTTTAAGTGAGTTGAGCACGATGGATTCTAACAGGAAATGAAGTCAAAGAATTAACAGTCATACAAGCCTCTAGGCCACCAAAAATTTCAAGTTTTACTCTGACTGCAATGAGGAGTCACCGAATGCTTTTCATGTACAGGAACAACAGTAACTGATTTGTGTGTGTGTGATAGAATCTCACTCTGTTGCCTCAGGCTACAGTGCCACAGCATCAGCCTAGTCCATAGCAACCTCAAATTCCTGGGCTCAAGGGGACCTCCTACCTCAGCCTCCTAAATAGCTGAGACTATAGGCACCTGCCACAATGCCCTGCTAATTTTTCTATTTTTAGTAGAGATGGGATCTTGCTCCTGCTCAGGCTGGTCTTGAACTCCTGAGCTCAAGCAGTTCTCCCATCTTGGCCTCCCAGAATACTAGGATTATAGGCGTGAGCCACCATGCCTGGCCTGATGTTATAGCAGGAAACCGACACAGACAGAAGACTCTAGGCCCTAGTTGGTTAGAGGAAGCAGGTTTATTCCAGCCAGGGGGAACTCAGAAGACCTGTGTCTCCAAAAGCGACCCCCCCCCCCAGACTCAATCTCTTGCCTCTCTTTTATCCACTTTTTAGGGTGAGAGTGCATGTGAGGGTCATAAAACAGAGAGAGCCATGACATCATCCTCAAGGTCCCAGGCTCAAGGGGAAGGTCAGATTGGCCTGCACCCTTGAGACCAGTTGGACTACCTGCCCTCAAAGGAGAGGAAGTCCAAGGAAGTTACTAGGTTACAATCTAGGCCCCTTCCGTCCAAGGAAGTTACTAGGTTACAATCTAGGCCCCAAAAATGTCAAAGGAGGAACATACAGACAACACAAACGCCTAGGGTTTGGCTGAGGCCTACACAGGGCGGCTAGGACAGATTCTTTTAGCTCTGCTTTTACTTTCTTGCCTCAATGTTATTTTATTTTATTTTTTGAGACAGGGTCTCACTATTTCACCCTGGATAGAGTGCCGTGGCATCGCAGCCCACAGCAACCTCAAACTCTTGGGCTTAAGTGATTCTCTTCCCTCAGCCTCCCAAGTAGCTGGGACCACAGGCGTCTACCACATCGTCCAGTTATATTTGGTTGTCGTTGTCATTGATGTTTGGCAGACCCAGGCTGGATTTGAACCTGCCAGTTTCGGTGTATGTGGCTGGCACCCTACCCACTGAGGTATGGGTGCCACCTGATGTATATTTTTTAAAAGATCTCTGTCATTTATACAACTCTTGGAAAGCAAAGGTAGAATCAGGTGGAAATTAGAAAAAGTTAAGGCAATAATGCTGATGAGAGATGAAAAGTGGCTTGGATGACTGTGGGAACAGAGGACAGAGAAGGTGGGAAGTGGTCTGAGGCTATAATGAAGGCACATCCAATAGCTATTTACTATCTCCAGCTCTTCTCTGATGGATGAGTTTGGAATAAAGAACCAAGTGTACCCAATTCAGCCCCCTTCTGTCTCCTGGCTTTGCCCACCACAGAAGAAGCACCCTGGCCTTCCAGGCAGGTGATGAGCCCACAGAGCTGGGGCTTAGCCACACATAGCCTCCCACCCAGCTCAGATCCGAAGCAGCAACTCTCATCTCATGAGCAGGTGCTCACAATCATAATCTGACACCTGCATCTTTCAAGTGGTTCAGACTTAAAAAGCAGGAAAAAGAGCTGCTACTTACAGAAACCCTAATAGCTAAGCCACCTGCAAAGGCCTGCACTCAGGTCCCCATTATTTCTCCAACATCACTTTCTAATTTTTTTTTATTTATTTGAGAGACAGAAGGTCTCACTCTGTTGCCTGAGATGGAATGCAGCAGCCCAATCATAGCTCACTGCATCCTCCAATTCCTGGGCTTGAGCAATCTTCCCACCTCAATCTCTTAAGTAGCTAGGACTACAGGTGCACACCTGCAGGCCCAGCTAATATATTATTTTTTAATTTATTTATCTATTTATTTTATTGAAACAGAGTCTCTGTGCCCCTGGGTAGAGTGCTGAGGCATCATAGCTCACAGTAACCTCAAACTGTTGGGTTCAAGCAAACCTCTTGTCTCAGTCTCCTGAGTAGATGGGACTATCAGTGCCTGCCACAACACCCAGGGAAGTTTGTTTGTTTGTTTTCTGTTTTTAGGAGAGACTGGGTCTTGCTTTGCTCAGACTGGTCTCAAACTCCAGAGTTCAGGTGACCCACCTGCCTCAGGCTCTCAGAGTGCTAGGATTACAGATCTGAGCTACCGTGCCCAGCCCCAGCTAATTTTTTATTTTTTGTACAGATAGGGTCTCACTCTGTTTCCCAAGCCAGTCTCACAATGCTGGACTCAAGTGATCCTCCCACAGCCCTGGATGACAGGAAAGAGGCACCATGCCCATTGGCCTCCAACTGTACTTTCTTTTTTTTTTTTTCTTGAGATAGTCTCAAGCTGTCGCCCTGGGTAGAGTGCCGTGGCATTACAGCTCACAGCAACCTCAAACTCTTGGGCTTAAACAATTCCCTTGCCTCAGCCTCCCAAGTAGCTAGGACTACAGGTGCCCACTACAACACCCAGCTATTTTTTGGTTGTAGCTGTCATTGTTTGGCAGGCCCAGGCTGGATTAGAACCCACCAGCTCTGCTGTATGTGGCTGGTACCCTAGCCGCTGAGCTACAGGTGCAGAGCCAACCTTATTTTCTATTGCTCTCTACTACAGGGACCTTTTCCCTGTTTCTGGAAAATACCTAGTTCATTCCTATTTCAGCATTTTTGCCTTTCATCTTCTTCCTCAGGTCTTCCCATGGCTGGTTTCTCCTTCACCTCTCAAAACTCAGCTAAGAAACCTGCCCTGCTCACTTTAGCAAGTGTCAGGGCCTCCATCATGGTAACCCAGGTTTAGTATCTCAAGAGTCTCCAAAATCATTCAGATGTGCTTACCTATTTTTTTGCCCTGCCTTTTTCCCTGTGGGATCTACAAGGGCAGGGTCTTGTCAGCTTTCTTCACTGCTGTGGCCCCAGGGTGTAGAACAGTACCTGCAAAGTAGTAGGTGCTACATTGCTTGAATGAATAAAATGGATGCTTCTTTGAAAAAAAAATGATTTTTTCTTTAATAGCAAAATAATATATGTTAATGGAAAACTTGGAAAAAACAGAATACAAAATACAGAAAATACAATTGAGAACTTTTATGAACATTTAGATCATTAAAGTGCAAATCTCCCTTGCTCTCTCTATCCGCCCGTAAGTATACAAATGGTGCATAGGTGTGTGGGTACACGTGCATAGATAGTCGTTCTAGGCCTCTTAAGGGGGCTCAGCCCTTCAGCCTAGCTCCTTTTTATTTTTGGTAGAGAGAGGTTCTTACTATGTTACCTAAGCCAGTCTCAAACTCGTGGGCTCAAGCAATCCTCCTACCTTGGCCTCTCAAAGTGCCAGGATTACAGGGATGAAGCCCCAGGCCTGGCTACCCCTATCTCTTAACCTCACCCTCTGCATCTGTCCTGTTCCTAAGGACAACCCTGGGACAAGCCTGGGAATGACCCTTCACTGAGACTTCTTGAGGCAGAAGCTGTTAAGAGTAAGGCTTTGCAACATCACCATGAGGTAGCTATGGTCTTTCCTACTTCCATATATGGAAACTGGGCCATTGAAAAGCTGATATGTGTATGACCAAGGCCACACAGCTGGCAAACAATGATTTGAATGGTCTGAGGTCCCAGTACTGTTCTCTCTAAATGGGGCCTTCAGTTCCCATAAGCTTGATTACCTGCCCTCTTCAAGATGCTGCTCAGAGGGTCTGAGGTTCAACAGTAAAGTTGGGATGTATCCCAGGGAAGGATGGAGTAGTCACATCCACCAGTCCATGGACTCTTTGGGGCAGGCCCTGACGATGACCATGCAGTGGGGCAGCCCCTTGCACAGGATCCTCTCAGCTTCCTGACCCTCCCACCCTAGCCCCTGCAACTCAAGGACTCTGAGCTTAGGCATGGTGAGGCAGGATGAGAGGATTTCAGTGGGGGAGGGCATTTCTGGGGTAATGAGGGGACCCAGCAGACACAGACTCTCCAGAGCTGGCATTCCCTCTAGGACAGCCAGGCCTGGGGCAGAGAGGCCCCCCACGGTCAGCCGGATCTTGCGCACATCTCGGAGGTGGCGGCTGATGGCCAGAAGAGTGCTGTCGGCTGAGAGAGTACAGCCTAGCACCTCAAGCCTCTGTAGGTAGCTCAGCTCCTGCAGCCCAGCATCCAGCCCTGTCTCGGTCACACGGTATGTGCCACCCAGCACCAGCGAGCGTAAGGCTCGGAAGCGTGTCAGGCCTTGCAGGTGCTCATCACGGAAGGCAGGGACACGGTCCAGCACAATGCACTCAAGCAGGGGCAGCACAGTGGGGTCCTCCTGCTTGAGGAGCCAGGCCATGGAGATCTCGCAGCTGTGCAGCTCCAGGGTCCTCAGCGTGGGCGGCAAGCTAGTAATGGGCACCATGCTGAGGTCAGCCACGTGCAGGCAGAGGCGCTTCAGGTTGGGACACTTCTGGCCCAGGGCCCTCAACAGGGCGGGGGACAACTGTGGGGCCTGGGAGCCAGAGAAGAGGTAGCCACCCATCCGCAGGGAGTAGAGCCGGGACGCCATGTACCGGCGAAGGAGGTGCCACATGACTTTCGGCCTCATCTGTAAGAGCCAGAGGGCGCTGGGTGAGAGGCTGAAGACAGACAGCTCAGGATGGGAGGGTTCTGATGCCCTCCTGGGCTTTTCCCCTTCCCAAGCCAGCTTCCTCCCTGGGACAAACAAGATGGTTTGAACCATTTTTTTGTTTTTGTTTTTGTTTTTGAGACAGAGTCTCAAGCTGTCACCCTGAGTAGAGTGCCCTGGAGTCCTAGCTCAAAGCAACCTCCAACTCGGGCTCAAGAGATCCTTCTACCTCTGTTTTTCTATTTTTATTTTATTTATTTATTTATTTATTTTGAGACAGAGTCTTAAGCTGTTGCTCTGGGTAGAGTACCATGGTGTCACAGCTCATAGCAACCTCAAACTCCTGGGCTTAAGCAATTCTCTTGGGTCAGCCTCCTAAGCAGCTGGGACAACAGGC